TCCTTGACCTCATCCAATCTAGCAACTAAGGCAAAGTTGCTGGATAGTGGTGAAGGTGAATTTCCTCTTTCATGGAATTGGCTCAAAATTTTTCATGCCTCTTTAGCCTTTGTGCAATGAACAACCCGTTGCTGTTCTTCAACAGAAATTGCTCCACGAATAGTGATCAGGGCTCTCTGATTACTCGAATTGTCAGCACTTTCTGTATCTTCTTCAATGGCATGCCAGCCTTCTGGGTCAAAAGCTCTCAGAACCGCCCTCATTCTGACCTTCCAATACAGGTAGTTACTCTCATCAAAGGTGGGAGCATGATGCAGGTTCTGACCACGAGCTAATTCTGCTGGCTTTGGAAGAGGTTGAGTGAAAGTGGACCAAAATGCCATGAAAACACTATCCTCGTCTTCACTGGATTCAAGTTCTTCGGGTTCTTCACAGTGTAGACTTTCTTTCGATTCTTTTTCGAAGGGCATTCAAGGGCAATATGACCATACCCTTGACATTCATAGCACTTGACCCCTTGCCCCTTTACAATCTTCTTTTCAGTTTTTGGAGCAAGTTTTGGTGGAAAAGTTTTGGGTTTTTCATTACTCTTGTCTTTTGAAATAGGGTCTCTGAAATTAGGCTTCTTTTTCTTCAATTTTTTTTTAAACTGTTTAGTAAACATAGCTGTCATCTCAGACTCTACATCAAATTCAGTCTCCAAAGTTTTTGTAGTCTCATGAGCACTAGTGAAAGCCACACTATCTTTTTATTTTTTCTTTGAAATCTGGTAGGCTTCAAAAGTCTGCAAGTTTCCAACCAACTGATCAAGCTTGAGGGTATCAACATTCTGAGCCTCCTCGATGGCTTTCACTTTTGATTGGAACCTCTCGGGTAAGGACCTCAAAATTTTTCTAACAACTTTAACTTCCAGGATTTTTTCCCCAAGTGTGAAACAGGAATTCCCGATATCACTAAGTTTTGCAGAGAAATCATCAAACGTCTCATCATTGCGCATAAAAAGGGTTTCAAAGGCGGAGGTGAGACATTGAAGTTTTGACCTTTTGACAGAAGTAGTACCTTCGTGAATTGTTTCAAGAATGTCCCAAGACTCTTTTGCTACCTCACACGTGCAGATACAACGAAACTTTTCAGGTGTGACGGAGCAAAACAGGGAATTGAGAGCCTTACTGTTCCAACTTGAGTTTTGGTAATCAGTTGTGTCCCATTTATCAAGGGGTTTAGGAATATCAGCACCATCAATGGTGATAGTAGGGTCACTCTACCCATAGATCACGCAGTGCCAGACTTTCTCATCGATGGATTTTAAAAACGCTCTCATACGAGCTTTCCAGTAAGAATAGTTTGTACCATCGAGTAAATGAGGTCTATGGGTCGAGTTACCTTCACAAATAGAATCCATATCACTAGTCACACAAAATCACACTCCTAAAGTTTAGATAAAAACAAAGAGTGACCTGCTCTGATACCAATTGAAAATCCCAAGTGATTCGTGATTAGATCAAGATTAAAATATTCCAAATCCCAATAATTCAAAACACGCAATCTAAATCATCAAACACTTACGAAAGTGATTTAGATTGTTGTTTTTTTGAATAAACAATAAATCGACACAAAAGATTTTTACGTGGAAAAATCACAATTGAAGAACCTTCAATTGTAATAAAAAATCACAGGCGAAACATCACTAATCAATCCACTACTGAAGAAAGAAAGATTACAAAGATAATACACAAATTACCCAACTCAGTCAATTTGTCTTCGAATCTTCTGTAACTCTTTCACCACACCTTCGTCTCGGAACTGATCAATCCTGAAGTTGAATCCACAACTTCACTTGTCGAATTAACGACTACGTACAGAATCAAACGCCTTTTGAAACTCTACGCTTGAATCTTCGGAATCCACCGAAGAGAACTCTCTTGAATATAAAGTAACAAACTCCTTGATGTATGAATCTCAAATCATAAGTTTAGAACTCTCTCAAAAACATCAAGGAAAACTCACAAAAACCTCAGAAGAAAACTTCAAACAAAACCCTAGGACTCTTGAATAAGATCTAGGAAAAGTAAAACCTAAAAACATCCTAGACAGATATATATAGACAATCCTTGTTCGCGATCTTCGCTCGAGCACCCAACAGCCCGCTCGAGCGGCTTCAGCAAAATATGCGTGTGACAAAACAGAGTTCCACTCGAGCGCTTGATAACCCGCTCGAGCGCGAAATCACACCTTCTAGTATTTTTATAGACCTGACAAAATACTGAGAGACCCCAATCTCCGCTCGAGCGGGAAAGACAAAAACATAGAAAAAATTACAACTTTTCAACACAAAGTTTTGTACCCGGATTTGACAATAAAGGAACCTAACACTTGTCCTTTCTTTTCATAAACTTCTCCACAATCATAATCCTTATTTTTTTTTCTGGAACTATTCTCCACAATCATGATCATCCTTACATTTTCCCAAATAATTTATTGAATTGGGAGCTCTCTTCGTTGTTTGGGACATCCAATTGCTTGATAGGGGTCTCATTATGTGATTTATTAGCGTGTGAACAATATGTTTGAAAGCGGCTTCTCTGCCCAACCCTCGTTTGGGTATCAGTATTTTTAGTAATTTTTAAAATTTTTATTTTTTTATTAGATAAAAAAATTAATATATCTATGAATAATTTTTTTAGTTATACGATAAAAAATGATGAATTACTCAGATTTTTTTTTTTTAAAAAAAATCTTAACTTTTTGAGCTAAAGAGTCAGGTTGTCAATCAAGATTTGGAGGTGTTGTTGGCCCTGTGAGTCCACCATGGGACTTACATTGATGATTTAAAATGTTCATATTGTCAAATTTGCTAAAAAGATCATTCTCACAAAAAATTAAATTGATCGAACAATTGCAAATGCATTATTAGATTACATTTATATTCAAAATAATAATTACTTTAGTGCTCTTTTGGGAAGCTGGTAAAAAGCCAGCTTCCAGCTTTTTACTAATTTTAGGTCACATCACCTCTCACATAACTTACTCACAAAAAGACAAAATAAGTTAAAAAAGTCAAAAAGCTAATATTTTACCAACTTCCCAAAACACTCCTTAGTTTCAAAATTATCATTGTTGGTGAAGTATATATATATATATATATATATATATAAAATAAATGTGATTTAATTATGCAATTCCAATTGTCCAAATAATGTTATTTTTTTGTGAAATTAATCTTCTCAACAAGCACTATCATGTGAACCCAGAAGAGTCCAATAGCACCTTCATTGGCAATTGAATCCAAAATATAATTCAACTTGTTTGGTTCTCGTTTTTAGAAAACAGTTTTTTAGAATTTTTTTTTTATTTTTCGTATTTTAATGTTTTCAATGAACTTTTTTAATATTTTAAGCAATTTTTTTAATTTTTTGACACACCTAACATAAATACACTTAAAAATTATAATATTTGTGAAAAAAATCTTTAAAAAATCTACTAAATACCAAAAAATATATATATATATAAAAATTCAGTAATTTTTATTTTTATTTTTGTGTATTTATTGAAGATGGTGCTACCTTCTGTGATATCCCCAAATTAGAGTGCTTTTATTGGGGGCCGTTTGATTAGTGACAATGTTTTGACGGGTTTTGAGATGTTTCATTTCATGAAAAATAAACGGCATGGCAAGGAGGGATGCTTTGCGCTCAAACCTGACATGAGCAAAGCTTATGACCGCGTTGAATGGGGGTTTCTTAAAGGGGTTATGGAGCACATGGGTATGCCGTATCGATTTGTTGACCTTATCATGAGATGTATTTCAACGGTGTCATACTTTGTTTTGATTAATGGACAGCCGGCAGTGGAATTTCGTCCGACGAGGGGCCTTCGCCAAGGGGACCCATTGTCGCCTTATCTGTTTGTGTTGTGTGCTGAGGGTTTGTCGGCATTAATTACAAGGGTAGAGACAAGTCATCGTCTTACTGGTATGGCCATTAGCCGAGGGGGACCTCGCATTTCTCATTTATTTTTCACTGATGATAGTTTGCTCTTTGGAGTGGCCAAACCAGAGGAGATTTTAGTTATTCAGGGCTTATTGCTGGAGTATGAGTTTGCTTCTGGGAAAAAAATTAATCTTGACAAATCAGCCATCTTCTTCAATACTAATATGGATGTTGGGCATAAGGAGGCTTTGCGACAACTTTTAAATGTAGGCAGCATGGTTGAATCTGGCAAATACTTGGGTCTACCATACCTTCTTGGTAGGTCCAAGAAAAAGGTGTTCAATTTTATCAAGGACAGAGTTTGGAAACAGATTAGTGGTTGGAAGGAAAAATATCTTTCGGTGGTAGGAAGAGAGGTTATGATAAAAGCTGTCGTTCAATTCATCCCTATTTATGTTATGTCTTGTTTCCAACTTCTAGCAACGTTTTGTGCTGAGATTGATTCCATGGTGTGTCGATATTGGTGGGGACAAAGTAGAAATAAGAGGAAAATTCATTAGACCTCATGGGAAGCTTTGTGTCACTCGAAATGGGAGGGAGGAATGGGCTTCAGCCGGTTAGCGAATTTTAACAGTGTTATGTTGGCCAAACAGGGATGGTGCCTTCTCCAGTCCCATGACTCTTTATTTGCTCAGTTGATACGGGCCAAGTATTAACCGAACTCGACGTTTTTGGAGGCCGAGTTGGGGTACAATCCCTCTTTCACATGCTGGAGTATTTTTAACTCTCGACCCTTTTTGAAGGCCGGGTTACGGTAGTGAATTGGGGACAGGCACACTGTTAAAATTTGGGGTGATAGGTGGTTGCCTAGGGGTTATTCTTTTCTTTCCATTTCTCCTCATTCTCTTTCTAATGTTACTAGTGTGAGCTTTTTGATAGATTCAGACTGAAAGTGTTGGGACTTGCGAAAGCTACAGACCCATTTCCTTGATGTTGAGGTGGAAGTGATTCGGAAAATTCCTATTAGCCCTTACCTGCCTTCTGATACATTGATTTGGTATTATACTCGAGATGGGGAGATTTTCAGTTCGGTCGACTTATCATTTACAAATGATTCGGTCTAGGATTGGGACATATCCGGAATCGTCCAATATAGGAGAAGCCAAACGGCGGTTTTGGAAAGGGGTTTGGCATTTAAAAATTTCGAATAAGATCAAGGCCTTTGCATGGAAGGCATGTTTGAATATTATCCCAACGCGGGACCGGTTATGGCAACGTCGCGTGCCTGTTGAACTTGGGTGCGACTGCTGTGACGCAGCTGTGGAGACTTTAGTGCACTGTGTTAAGGAATGTGAAGTGGCTCAACAAGTATGGGCTGCTAGTCCTATGGCTTTCGTTACTGATGTTGGGGTGGGCTATGATTTTTATCAGTGGGTGATTGAGATTGAGAAACAAGTTGATGAAGCAGGATTGGGGTTGTTCTTTGCGCTGTGTTGGGGATTATGGTTTGGTTATAACCAAGCTATATTTAATAATATTAAGCGGGTTGCACGGGTGATTATTCAGCGAGTGTGTACCTATCAACAAGAATTTTGTCAAGTCAGAGCCCGCGTTCAAGGACCGAGGGTCTGTCCTAATCCATCATGATGGAGGCCACCGTCAGTGGGTGTGGTCAAGATTAATTTCGATGCGGCAACCTTTGCTGATTTGGAGGCCGTTGGGGTGGGTGTGATTGTTCGGGAGTCTCACGGAAAAGTTATTGCAGCCATGTCGGAAAGACTTCCACATTGGGTTGATGCGGATTGTGCTGAAGCTCTAGCAGCAGCAAGTGCGATTGCATTTGGAGCAGAATTGGGCCTGAGTCATATTCATTTAGAGGGGGACTCGTTATCCATTATTAAAGCCTTCCGCTGTGAGGATCAAGTGCTTTCCTGTTATGGCCATATTCTCCAAGGTGCTGTGTGTACAAGCCGCTGCTTCACCAGTTTTTGTTGTTCGCATGTGTTGCGCGGTGGGAATAAAGCTACTCATGAGCTGGCTCGTCTGGCGGGGCATATGCTCGGTAAATGAATTTGGAAGAATGCGGCGCCAGCTGAATTATGCAGGATAATTTGAGATGAGGCTGTTTTAGTTTCTTAAATTGTATTAGCCTTTCTAAAAAAAAAAAAAAAAAGAAAGAAAAAGTAAGGTGCATTTAAAAAAGTAAAAAATTGCTTAAAATTTAAAAAATATTCACTAAAATAAAAAAATTATGACAAATAAAAAAAACTCAATTTTCAGAAAATTAAATTTAAAAAATTAAAATCAAACACATTGATTATGATCTTTGTTCACTTGTTTTGATATTTTGTTCTTCGACTATATTTCACATTCACCTATCTTCTAGCATATTGTTCTTGATTTAGCCTTTTTCTTTGGGCACAATGTCCATTTGGTTGCAATTTTTCTTTTTAATTTTTGTGGATGGACTGATGAAATTGAGAAGATTGGCAACGTTAAAGACTTTAGGTCGGTATGGCATTAAAAAATAAATAAATTTAGGTGTGGGTCTTAATAAGTGGACTTATTATTCAATATGTCCTATGATAATTAATGACATTTTTCATTAAATACTATTAAAAAACGCCACTAATACAAAAAATGTCACCAATTATAAGTTTTAGTGGCAATTTAAAAAAATCGTTAAAAAAAAGACTATTAATTTTTAATTTTCAACGACAGTTTGAAAAATTCATCACAGAAAAGAGTCAATAATTGTAAGTTTTAGCGACAATTTATAAAACTGTAACAAAAAAAAAATACTAATTGTCAATTTTTAACGACATATACAAAAAATCATCACAAAATTATTTTTAACGATGATTTTACTAAAAATTATTTTTAATAGAATTTTATGAGAATTAAATTTAATTATAAAGACTTATTAATACTTTATCCAAAAAAATGAAGAAGAAGAAAAAGAGACAGCTATCATAACAAAAATTTTATTGGTGTACGAGCACGAAATAATGTTCTCGTATAATCCTGTTGATCAAGTCTGCGCTCCTCCAAACGTCGTCGCTTTACTCACTGAAAACACAAACGTGAGTTAGCCGGCGGATGTGTGCCGGATACCTCTCCGATGCCTAAGTCAGCAAAATAGACAAATAGACAAAGGCTCTATCTATTCAGGAATCAAAGTTGTGTTACCTGTACGTAGGTTATGTCGTGAGCTTTTATAGGTTCCGCGTGGCACAATTCTAGTAGGACTCTTATTCCTCAATGTAGAGTCCTCCTAGGAATCACATTCCTGAAAGATAATGTTTATCCTTCAACACCCCCCTCACTGCTTAAACCAAGTGAGATGATTTTACCACGGCTGGATGACAATGTAACCGAGCTAACAATACCTCTTTGTCATACCCAAACCAGTACCTTCACATGCAACTCATAGCTCGGCTCTTATTCACTTGTACCTCGGTTGTGTTCGTTGAGACCGAGCTAACTATAGCAAGCTCTGACCGCGCTAACCAGAGCAAGGTCCACCATACGAAGCCATAATACCTCGGTTCCAAACACTATGGCCAAGCTAATTACCACTCCGACCGGAGTGACTGAGCTAACTACAAGGCCCTTTTACTCAGCCCTTTTTACTGCGGCCCACAGACGGCGCCAATTGTACGAGCGCGAAATAATCTTCTCGTATAATCTTGTTGATCAAGTTTGCACTCCTCCAAACAACGTTGCTTTGCCACCTAAAAACACAAACATGAGCTAACCGGCGAGTGTGTGCCGGAAACCCCTCCGATGCCTAAGTCAGTAACTAGACAATAGACAATAAGCTTTGTGTATTCTAGAGTAAGAATTGGAATACCTGTACATAGGTCTGGTCATAAGCTTTTATAGACTTTACTTGGCACAATCCTAGTAGGATTCTAACTCTCCTTATAAGAGTCCTTCTAGGAATCACACACCCTACTCACTACCAACCAAGTGAGATGGTTTGCACAATCCTAATATGACTTTACTCTCCTTAGCAGAGTCCCCCTAGGAGTCACACTCCTACTCACTACCAATCAAGTGAGATGGTTTTGCATAATCCTAGTAGGACTCTACTCTCCTTAGCAGAGTCCTCTTAGGAGTCTCAAGTCCAAGGATAATGATTATCCCTAAAACACCTTCATCACTACAAGCCAAGTGAAATGGCTGAACCCTTACCTCGGCTGACATTGCGGTCAACCGTACTCATATAGCACGGTGATACTTTAAGCACCACTGTCAGTCTTGACTCTGAAATGACGCCCTGCAGAGTTATCCTTTACCTTGGTTCTCCCTCCACTGATACCTCGGTCCAGGATAGCTACGTTAGGTCACTGGTAGCCCATCTCTGACCGACCCGATGTTTAGATGATCAAGGACCGTGCTACATAAATAATTACCTCGGCCCATAGTTCGGCCCAAACCCGAAATATGAGATGTCTTCTTGGCTTAAGACTGAGCTACACCAGCCCTTATCTCGGCCCATTACGCGACCCAACTCCCAAAGAAGACTCTTCCTAGCTCGACCCAATTTGTTTACAAATTACCCTCTTAATTGCCCCTTAATTCCATCTGCGTAGTATGATTGGGATTATTTTTCCTCCAGCCGAGCTAAAAACGCCCCACTCTGCCGAGCTAAAAAGTTGTTCGGTTTCATAGCTCGTTCAGCCCCAATAAGCCTTGTCAGTTGCTCAACATGTTCTTCTACTAATCTGGCACAACGTCATTCCCAAGATACGTGGCATGCCCCCATTATCCTCGTTATCTTGTTACAACCGTCATGTACTTTCAAAATTTTGAACAGCCTCGCCTTTTTGCCTTCAATATTTATATCCTTCGAGTTCGCAATCATATGAGAAGACGTTCTTTTAGTGTAACCGAGCTATATGTCCCACCTTTTGTAATCATCTTCCAATTAATGACAAATTTAGATCTCTTTGCTCGATTACTGTGTTTCTTTTTCAATGTTTTGCATCATTCCGACCGCATGCCTAGCCAACTAATTAGCTTGGCCTTACCTGATCCTGCCAACCTTCTTTGGCCGAGATACGCATCTCGGCTGAAGAATCCAAAAAACTTGTTGGTCAAACCTGCCAACCTACTTTGGCCGAGGTAACTGTCTTCCCGGCTAAAGAGTGCAAAAGTTTTGTTTGTCATACCTGCCAACTTCCTGCAGCCTAGATCCTTATCTCGGCTTAGGAGAGCTAAATGTTGGTTATTCCTGCCAACCTTCTTCAACCTAGATCTTAATCTCGGCTGAAGAAAGCTAAATGTTGGTTATTCTTGCCAACCTTTTTCAGCCTAGATCCTGATCTCGGCTGAAAAGAGTTAAATGTTGGTCAATGTCACGACCCAAACCCGCCCCTATAGGTTTAGCATCGTAACTGGCCAGTAATCCTGGGATTACTGAAGGCCTCTGAGACAAATTAACATAATATAAGGGGCTAGCGGAAGCAAATAACAAATATACAACGTCCATTGAGCTGTGCAGACTTATATCAGATAGAAAAATTTTAAACTTTTTATGTACACATATACACATCATCCTCACGTCATAATATATATACAGATTAGGCAAAAAGGGACTTAGCCCTATTTACAAAATACATAAGACTTGATTAACCAAACAAGAAAGCAAAACTTAAACTTTAAATCACATAGCCATAATCACTAACACATCCGGAACCTCCACGGGAGGCACATAGGTTGGTTGACAAAAATAGATTCTAGGCAGATGCCTCTAAGTCTGGTCACGCACCTGATCACCTACATACATAAATAATACAGTGAGGTAGAGTCCAGTGAATAATAACAAAGTAAAGGGTTTTATGAATGATGTCCAGCACAAGTTAGGATCCAGTATTTAAATCAGAACATATTCAGACTTCAAAATAGAAATAGATTTAGATACACACTCATGTTCATATTCAGATTTTGCATAAGATCATACGTGGTACACCCATTAGCTATCAGATCAATCTGGTCCAGAGACCCACATACATAGTTGGTGCCAACGACCATAAAGGTCGATATCTTGCGCGCAAGTTGCCATGATATTGTTACCCCAGGCAAGGGCCACGTGCAGATTGGCCACGGTATTGTTACCCCCGGGCGAAGGTCACATGCAGATTGGCTGCGGTATTGTTACCCCCGGGCGAGGGCCACGTGAACTAAGAGTGCCACAAATACTTTTTAGAAAATTAGACATTCATTCATAATTCGTAAGCTAGCATTTCAGAAAACAGATCATACCATGCTAGTCAGAAAAAACTTAAGTTAAATATAACTTTACAGAGTTATTACTCACAGATAGCTGCAGAAGCAAATTAGACAGACTGGACATATCAAATAAACCAGGTAGACAACGGCGTGTGACCTACACAAGCACATAACATATACACATTGAAATAAAATATTACTCCCTTGATCAAACTTGACTTTTCTAGTCTTTTTCCGTCTAAATAGTCCGAAGTTCTACTACGCTTATTCTTTCTCATTCAAATAAACCGGATTCTTATTTCATATATTCTTTTATTACTAAGCCCTTTCTTTCCAAATAGATTGATCTTTTACTTGGCTTCTTAAACAATTACCACTAGATCAATGATTCATTCCTTAACTAACTAATCTATGTTGATTGGTAGCTTATTAATCCTTATTGAATCACAAATCATGTCTAGAGTGCTTTGGAAAGCGATGAGGAATAAAATATGAACTAAATGCAACTTTCCAAAATATGCTGAAAATGGGTCTCCGCTCGAGGGCCACTTTGATCGCTCGAGCGGACTGTAAAATTTGAAAATTTTTGGGAGCCCGCTTTCCACGCTCGAGTGAGACTTTCCTCGCTCGAGCGGACAACGCAAATTCTGAAAATTCTAGAATTGCAATTTAAATTCAATTTTGGTAATCAAAGCCTCAAAACATGTATTTTTGGTACACAAAAATAGAGAACCACTGTATGATTTAGTAAACACTTCCAATTAGAAAACATTCATTCAAAATCATGTTCCAATTGCCCAAATTTAGTTTTAATTCATCTTATTAATATCAAC